AAACTGCTACCATCAAATTAATTTTATCTCCACTTGGGAAAAGGTATATTTAACTGTTAGTTTGCCCACTGAAGTAAAAGCAGTTTGGTAGGGATAGAGTTCTCTGGGTGAAAATTGCACAAGGGGAAAAGATTGATAAACTATCCCCCCACCCTTGCAAATTACAGTTGCAGTGGTTGTACATTCTACTTAACACCCCACAACATTCTGAAAAAGTAGCGCAAAACTACACAGAATATATAGTTCTTCCCTCAGTCTTCCAGCAGGATTAGGTTAAACAAGACAAACCCTACTTGTGTGAAAACCAATAAATGTGAGATGGTTTTCATTGTAGAAAATGTGTGGATCAAGGGAAACAAATGAGTCCAGGAAATGATTATTTGCTTTATGACCAACCTGTTAAACCTCTGTCTGGATGTACTGATGGATGGTGTACAAAATCCTGTATGGTGACATAGCTTTGTAGAAGATGTTAACGTAGGCTGGACATTTCACAACCCAATGAGCTCCATGAACTACTTTAAAAAACTGGTTGATTTCATAGAATCATAGAATCATAAAGTTGGAAGGTACCTCCAGGGACATCTAGTCCAATCCCCTGCACAATGCAGGAAATTCACAAATACCTCCCCCCCACCCCCAGTGACCCCCATTCTCCATGCCCTGAAGATGGCAAAAAACCTCCAGGATCTCTGGCCAATGTGGCCTGGAGACAAATTGCTTCCTGACCCCAAAGTGGCAACCAGTGGAACTCTTGGCTCTTCCACAGGTAGCAGGGCCATTTAGACAGGTGCTCACGTTGACGCATGAGCTGAGTGACTTTTGCCCTGTGACTCACAGCTTGCAAACCAGTCAAACATCCAACCATGGATATGAGGAGCTGCAGTGGATTCTCCAAATCCTGCTTCCTGCACATGGAGAGAAGCGGAGTCTGGGTCACCATTTGATAAAAGAGGGACAGTTTTGATGTCTGTTTTTGGGCAAGATGGTGACTGGGGGCCATGTGTGGTGATTAAGGAGCCAAGGGTGGTAATGGTTCCTGGAGAAGGAAACACATTATAGGTGTCTATATCCCAGTGCTAGAAGTCTCCAAGCCAAGATGGGAGAGCTGGAGTGCTTGGTGTGCAATGACAATTTAGATATTGCGGGTATCTCAGAAACATGGTAGAATGGGGAAAATCTATGAGTTACAGTCTATAGGCAGGACTGGGAGGGACAGGCTGGTGATGGTGTTGCGTTGTATATCAAAGAGGGCATAGAAGTAGATAAGTTAGTAAACATCAGGGAAATTAATTCCTCAACAGAAGTGATATGGGTGGAAATACTGGGCCCTAAGGGTTACTTAAAAGTGGCGGGTGTATTATCACCCACCTGATGAAAGCCTTGAGGCTAATCTTGAGATGGAGAAGGAAATGAGAGAGGTGACTAAAGAAGATAAATGTCATTATACTGGGAGACTTTAACTACTCCCACACTGACTGGGTAAACATGTGTTCGAGTCATGCTGTAGAAATGAGATTCTTAGACATCATAAATGACTGTGAACTGGAACAGTTGGTCAAAGAGCCAACCAGAGGGGCTGCTTCTGAGTGGGTCTCAAGACCTAATGAGAGATGTAGAGGTTGTTACATCAGTTGGAAACAGTGACCACAATGCTATTAAGTTCAGCATTCAGATCAATTGACAGTTACCCCTAAAGTCCAAAACTGTGACATTTGATTTCAAAAGAGGGAACTTTACAAAAATGAGGGGAATAGTCAAAAAGGAAGCTGAAGGAGAAACACAAGACAGTCAAATCCCTAGAGGATGTTTGGAAGCTATTTAAAACCACAGTAATTGATGCCCAAATAGAATGTATTCCACAGCTCAGGAAAGGCACTCACAAATCTAAAAGAAGGCCTATGTGGTTAACAATGCAAGTCAAGGAAGCTATAAAAAGTAAGGAGGCTTCTTTTAAAAAGTGGAAGATCTGCCCTAATGAATTGAACAGGAGGGACCACAGGCTCTGGCAAAAGAAACATAAGAAAACAAAAGAAACTAGGCATGTAAAATGAGATTTTGAGGAGTGGGTTGCTAAAAGCATCAAGACAAACAAACATTTTTTAGAAAAATATCCAACACAGGAAACAAGCCAGAGAAACACTGGGGCCTTCGGATGACAAAGGAATAAAGGGATTGCTAAAGAAATATGGGAAAATGGCAGAGAAGGTCAATTACATTTTGCTTCTGTGTGGGAAAGTGTGGGGCATGTGCCCATGCCACAGCCTCTATTTTCAGGAAAGGAGTCTGAAGAACTGGGTCAAACTGAGGTGACCAGAGATGAAGTTCTAGACCTACTGGGGAAATTAAAAATGTTAAGTCTCCAGGTCCTGATGGAATACACCTGAGAGTTCTTAAGGAACTCAGATGTGGGATAGTTGATCTACTAACCCGTATACATAAGCTATCACTAAATTCAGCCACTGTACCAGAAGACTGGAGATTAGCAAACATTATACCAATTTTTAAAAAGGGATCCAGAGATGAATCAGGAAATTACAGGCCAGCCAGTCTAGCCTCTTTCCTAAGCAAATTAGTAGAGACTGTAATCAAAGATAGAATTGCTAGGCACATAGAGTCACAAAGCCTGCTGAGGGGAAAATCATCATGGCTTCTGAAAAGGGAAGTTCTGCCTCTCCAACCTTTTGGAGTTCTTTGAGAAGGTGAACTAGCATGTAGACCAATGCTCCCTCTAAGCTGGAGTCTTGTGAGCAAAAATTCTACTTTGTGAGCTCCTGGCATTAGAGTTCTGAGCAATCAATTTGGCTACTGCATAAATTAGTTTGCTCTGGAGCCATCCTTCCTGAGCTAAGACAAAAATGTGATAGCTGGAGGTTAAAAAACTGTGAGCTAGCTCATACTATCTCAGCTTAGAGGGAACACTGATGTAGACTATGGTGACCTGGCAGACATTATATATAACAAGAGGGGGACCCGTGATACTCGCGGGGGGGGGGAGAAGAGCCCCGTCTCCTCCACCCCCCACCCCTCGATCTCCCGAGGCGGCGGCGGCAGTGGTGAGGCCGGTGTCCGCCCTCCACCCCCCCAGGCCGGTCTCCCCCC